GATATATCACACAAATATAGTTCATACATAACGTGCGTTAGGTTACGCGTTTTACCGAAAAAAAAAACATTATATAACCTGCAACACAGGAAAATAAGGACCAGTCTGAGTAAATTACTGATGAAAAACGTTTAAGTGCATCGACTATAGCATTTCTCGGGCGTAAATGTAGGCCATACTGCTTAAATTGGGCATCCTCTATGAAGTAAGTTCAGTTAGCGGTCCGTGTACGTTAAGCAAAGACTCCAAGTTCTTCAGGTCTGGATAGCGGATGATATGATTGACCAGATGAACGAATATTTTGTACTTTTCTAAACACCAAAAAAGCTCACCTACTCGTGTGCGGCAGAGAGCTGGGGTTTGTTCAAGTGACAAAGTAATCCGCAAATCCATGTACTTCTGTCGGTCAGTTTCTTGCTGATTTTGCCAGTTTTCGAAGCCCATCTTTCGTCTGGATTCTATAAAAGATTTGTTTGAAAGAATTGTGCGTCTACTAGCATTAAACCATAAAAACTAGCGTTTTGAGTTTTGTTTAAGTGTGTTCAAGTGTTTCTGCTGATGCCTTTCATCTGCGGTATTTCGAATAAACATTGCAGTCGGAAAACCCGTGGATACTTGTTCTGTGTATTTTATGAGTGCCGGAGTTTGCACTGATCAGGTGACGGAGCATGCCTCGCGAATGAACGCCGTAGCCTGTACACATATTGTAACCGACATGACGTCTGACGACCGAGCAAGCATCATGTCCAATTGTGCTCGCCCGCCCACGCACACATACAGTACAGTCTACAATTCGTGTAACAGGCTGACAACCGCAACAGACCGACACCCTTCGCTAATCAAAATTGGGTTTTGAAGCAACACTGTTTATCGTGTATTCTTCTCTAAAGTCATTTCAGTCATGATAGGATGTCCTTTTTTCTAGCCAGCTTTCCTTGGACCGCTAACAAAAAGTGTCGACTCTAAAAGGTGTCTGCATATTACATAATCGATTATCTACACGATTTGCAACTTGTTCTAGACGTAAGGATAGCAAATGTCGTCTTCACAGTCCGATAAGAGGCTACACTACGCGTCTCCGCATTAAAGCCTTCACCATTTAATCTCAAAACAATTCACATTAACATAAACATTCAATACCGTTGCCCATACAAATGCAAATTCGATTAGAACAAGCTCTTTTAACTGATAAATGTGTGATGTGAACGGGCGGCCTTGCAGTTAGCTGAATCGCAGAGAAATAGTAACTTGTAAATCCGCAATTTAAATATATTTCAGCTTCAGCGTGGCAAGCGCTCTTGCGGTAATACCGTTGTACGCACCCATTGTGGAGTGCTTCTCTGGGTAGGCATGTGGCCATACAGCCTCAAACTGAGCATCTGCATGCAGGGGAAACGGTTCTGCTAGCTACATTTAAATGTGAGGTGAGTTTGCGATATTTGATTTGAAAAAAGCTTTGACTTTCGAGCGCAATAACTTTGACCGATTTAGACCACGAAAACGTGCTGAGAGTGTGGCTACAGGCGCGCCGCTTACAATCGTCCTGACATTGTCCTTCGTGGCCCAATTTATGCGCAAATCAAGGTAGGTACATGGCCAGCACTGCGTAGGCTGCATGAAGTTTCATAAAGAACCTGCGTTGTCATGACAGCTGCACGAATCAGTCCTACTTCCGCGCAGTGAGCAATTCGGAAAAAGAAGAAGAAAGGGTGTTGACCGGGAGAGGCTTATTTGTAATCAGACCTTTCCGATAATTATTTCGTCTATCCATCTTCGGAGAGTAAAAACTCTGGCTCCTGGTTCTCGTTAAATGCGGGGGTGGGGGCAACCCAAAGAAGCACTGACACCCTAGGTGCAGATAGCCACAACGCAGAGCAATGCACGATAGGCGATTACCAGGCGGCTGGTGCGGAGAACCGTTAGAGACACGACCTATGCAGAGCGGCTCGAACTGGATTGGCAGACTAATGAGAGCCATTCGCCAAAGTACTCACTCTCTGAAGATGGGTAGACGAGATAACTATCCGAAACATTGGATCACAAATACACCTCTTTCGGTGAACGCCCTTTCTTATGCTGGCTTAAATCCTAGGAATCACATTTCCGCTACTCTAACAGTGCACTATTTTCACAGGAAGTAGGCAGCACCATTGCTTTAACGTAATTGTGTTAAGTTCACGTTCACGTAGTCAAGGCCTTTGCTATACGCCACACAAGCATGAGAAGGAACCTGGTAGCTGATTGCGGCCTCATATTCCTTCACGTTTAGGACGCCTGCTTACATGTGTGTTCGCTCGTTTATGCAAATATTAATGTAAAACACTCTGCATACCACCAAATGAAGATTGTGATAGATTCTGTAATTTATGCTCAGAGATGGAGGTTGTTTTGTATTTTGCGCTTTTGCTAACCCCCGTCAGTAAGAGTGTCAAATAATTGTGTCCCAGGAGAAAGCCCGATTGCACAGACAATGCTACAATGCAGCGCTTTCGTTGAGATTAACTTGCATCTGGCTTTAATGTTAGCTGCACAGGTGAAGCGTTAACCACGCGCTTCGTGTGATGAAATGTCAGTAGGTCCCCGCCTGTACCGCGGCCAGTAGACAAGAAGTACACAAACGGAAAATGATTATCGGTAGGGGAGCCGTTGTTTGTCATATGTTTCTTAAGTAGCATCGTGACCGTATCCTGAAGACTGCTTCTCTGATTCTGTTAATGCATGCGATGATTCGTCACTGACGGACTGCGGAATGTCATGCTTCTCAGTCCTGACTACATCGAAGATAGATCATCATTAGCTGGTGTTGGGCTAATTGACATGCATTTCCATCAAAACAGGACAAGAACACAGTGTCCATCAACGATACACCTGATTTTGCGACAGGTGAATCAACGAGTCCAAGATCTTCATGCCTGCGTAATAGATGATAATGTTCACCAGGTGGATAATGTTTTGGAATGACAATAAATAGTTTTGGTAAATCATTGAGTCGTGGTTACGTTAACGCTTAAAATCGATTTTATGCTCAGAGTTGGAATTAGGA